CTGTTGGCTGCTGTTTTCCTCGCCAGCGCTACACTTTCGTGCATTTTTCCAGCGCAGATTTTAATTTCTTAATGCAAAAAGGGCATAATAACACACAGATACACACATATATATATATATATATATATATATATATACACTGACACACATGCTGACACCCTCAGCTGCATAACAAGAAGTGCAACATGGGGACGGAGGTGGGCAGAGGGCGGGGAACCCCAAAGCTGCACAGCAACTAGCTTTGTGCATTTGCAATGAGAAAAGCTGGAGCAACAGAAGGAGCCCCTGCGAGGAGCAGCAGCTGTTTATGTTGAGGATTGGGCAATTCAGTCAGCGATGTAGGCAGTCAGTTGAAAGTGGACTGGTGCTATTTTATTTTCTTTCCTTTTCCTGATGCTTCTATGATTGCGCATCCTGTAAGCACAAATAGACTGGCAACAGTTAAATTGAATTTAAAGAGCTCGCCAGCTTGGCCAAGCTTTACAAATCAATGACTATGGTTGAATGATATACTACCATATATTTGGCTTACTTGTTCGACAGTTCATACTCACGAAGTTCTAAGCTAGTACAAGATTAATGACACCATTCATTATAAAGTTGAAATTTTTAAATTAGAAATTAATATTTTCTTTTGCTATGAGTTTGTGATTTTATTATTGCTTCAATTAACGACATGCTTGACCTCTAAAGCTACATGTATTCATCCATTTTTATGGAGAGTTTAGCCAAAAGAAAAGGTTTTAAAAATGATATTTATTCAATTGTAGGGAGCAATATCCATCTCCTCGAGCAGCAGTTCTTGAATTGCGGAGCGAACAAAGCGCTTTATTGACAATTTCCGGAATGCTGAAGGGCTGACAGTATGATAGTAATCCTCATCTTTGATGGGTTCGATCTCGGCCTGGCGTATTACGCGTATCAGTAGCTTGCTCTGCCCATCGATGAAGTATGAGTTTCTTTGTGCCGTTTCGTGTCATTGACTAACAATTTTTATGTGTGATTTCTACGTCTGCACACCAGTTGTCCATGTGTCTGACTGTGGCTTTATGCAGAATACTCCCATAGCCTACAGTTGCTCTGAAAGTTTCTAAGCGTCTAAATTAGAAACTTGAACTCGAATGGGAATAACAACTGATGAGTTGCAGCTGCCCCAGATTACAGGAATATGCGTCCAGCATCCCCAACTTTTCTAGTAACATCACTGGCCCTTTTCTCCTCGTCAACTCAACTCCAACGCCCCTCCGCACCCCTCCCCCCTAACAACATCATTTGACACGCACACAAATCACTTGATTCAATCATCTCGAAAATTGATAACATGCCATTTACAAATGACATCGGGCTTGCCTTAAAAAACAAGCCATGCCGAATTGAGGTCATGTAGCCGGGGCTGGGGCTGGGGCCTGAGCCTGGGTCTGGCTCCGGCTCCGGAATTGGGTCTGGGCCGGCGAGAAGTACGCAACAATTTATTTATAGGCCGGCGGACAAAAGGACGGCAGCAAAAAATCAAAATTAGGACACGTGCCGCAAGTTGACCAACACAACGCCAACAAACAATGCGAAGCTCGACCCCGACTCGGTTATAAGAACGAAGCACGCCCCCCTCTACACCCGCTTTCTGGTAAATAAAAAAAAGAAGCAGACTACAAGAATCAAGCATTCATAAAAGGGGGCGGGCGGACCTTTGAAAGTTGCAGTGAAAGTGAAACTCGCTCTAACCGCACGCGGCACGCACCACTCCCACTATCCTCCCCCAACACCACCCACCTCCCACCAACCACCCACAATCCGCCGCTCCAACTCCCGCCCGCCCGCACTCATTTGCGATGCGCTGCACGCTGTGCTTTTCATTTCAATTTGAACGCATTTTTTGTGCCACAGTCTTAGTATTCTTTTTTTTGGCAGACAATCTGAACAATCGGCGCGCAATCGGACAATTGATTCGAACGCATTTGCGTGTTTGCTCCAAATAACTGCAAATTATTTTCATTCCGTGCGGCGGCTGCGGCTTCGACCAACTCTCCTTTGTGTCTCGCTTGGTCCCCATTGTGTCATAAGCATCGGGAGAGTTCACGTCCGTCCAGGCAGGGTTGCTTCATGGCGGGCAGTGGGGCTGTGGAATCAAGTTAAGTGATTTACTACGTGATGCTCTCTCGAAACATACATACATACAAGTATTGACAAAAAATGATGGGCCAGCAAATGAATACAGATTGCTGATGATAATTTACGATATTAAATTAATAAAGTGGCTACGGATGGCTCTTTGAGATACAGCTATACCATACATAAATGCCTATTTTAATATTGAAAAACAATAACCTGCATTGAATGTTTTGAGCACCGTCTTGAATAACAGAGAGTGATCTTATTTTTGGAAGGACAGCTTCAAGTAGGTGGAATGTGCAATCAGTTGGCTTCTGATCAAATATAGGCACTTAGATTTTACGTTTAATCGGAAAATCAGCTCTCAGCTCAGCTACCAGATGTGTGAGGTATATCTTCTGACTATTACTGGAACAGGTTGGCCATACCTAAAACATTGAGTACTTGTATTATAAGGCTTATACTTGTATAATAGTTTACCAATATTTGGGAAACATCACCAGCCCTGAGTTGCTTACCAAATATGGAAGTAGACACATCAATAATACAACAGCTGTAGGTCTTTCAAGAAAAGAAATAATTGTAATGTTGAATTGTAAGGTTTCAAAACAGTTCTAGCAATAAAGAAACTACTGCTGGGCACATCAAAGAGATAAATCCGAATTTATCGGTAGTTAACTGGGCAGTCTGGCTGCGAGGTCTCACAGTGCTGGCCAAATTTTAATTAAGACCGCCAGCAAACATCGAACCCATAGCTTCAATTTGAACGCAACTTGGCAAACATTTAAGTAACAATAATGACCCGGGCGGGTCACTTGTGGGTGGGTGCCAGGATGTTGATGACGGGACAGCCGCAGTGGGCATGGCTGGGAAGTGCAAAAAACTGACCAAAAGTCAGCAACACTTAAGCAAAATGTCAAATACACAAATAACAGAATGAAATGCCCTCCGGGGTGCATTTGCCGGCCAACAAGAAGACAACAACTACAAGTCGATTGAATAGTTTTGTTGGTCGAAAAAGGTTGAATACCTCTCCCACTCCCACTCCCATTCCCATTCCCACTCGCACTACCACTTTTATTCCAACTGCTGCTACACTGTTCCATCAGAATGGAGAGTATTGATAGTTTTGTAAGCAAAACAGAAAACAGAAGAGAGTGGCACATACTATAAAGTTAGCAAAAAACACAAACAACAAAGTGACAATAACAAGCACAAATGAAAGCTACCCCAACACTAGTGGGACCCCTTGGGCTATACTTATGTGTGCAAGTATATAGAGGCTGACGAAGACGACCGACCACTACCACGACGATGACAATAGTGTGGCCATAACAAAAGGTACAACAACAGCAGCAAACTCTTTAGAAGCTGCAAATGCCGGCGACGGCGTCCGCTTGACATCCGGCATAAATGTCAAACGCCAACTTTGACCGCAAAATACATGTTGGGTCAATGCATTGACAAAATGTGAACTGGCCAACTGGGCAGCTGGGTGGCTAAACAGCTGGGAGTTACAGAGCAACAACAGCAGTAGCAGCAGCAGCAGCAGCCGTTTGACCAGTAAACCAAATATATTCATAGCCTGACAGATTTCAGATTTTCACGCTGGTTTGGGGCCCAAATACTAACTACTGACTACCGACTACTGGGCCAAAGATAAGTATGCGGCTGACGCGCCTTTGTCCCTGACATATGCACATGTACACTTATGTATGTGTGTGTGTGTTTGTATGTGTGTGTGACTCAATGGGTAGCCTTTTGGGGCCGTCGTAGTTTATTTCACAATTAAAAACATTTGTGACCAGGCGCGCGTTTCGAACGATTCTAATTCTACCCTGGACACGAACCCGACCGGGCGCCCATCCAACCAACCAGCCAGCCCATCAACCCAAAATGCCAACCAAGTGTGTCGCTTAATTACAAAACGAACAACGCATAAAAACCGGGAGAGCGTTCGTCTATAGCAATGGGCCAGCAATGGATGAGACAGCCATCACTACAATAACAACAACAAGAACATCAATAGCAACTACAACACATTGTCTGGCGAGGGGGGCTGGCTCGGGAGACGTGGAGCTAGAGCTCAGAGTTTGGCGTTTGACATTTGCAATATTTGACATTTAAGTAAAGGCATAAATTTGCGTTTAATGAAAGGCAAAGTCGTGGCGAGAGACACGCAGAGATACAAGTAGAGAGAAAAGATTGGCAATGGGGCCCGGAGAAGGGAATGGACGCCGCCATGTGTGTATGGATGTGCCTGCAACCGCCATTAGACGACCAAAAACAGTCGGCAGCTGGCGCCGCGTTCGACTGAGTTTCAAGTCTATTGAGCAGCAGTGTATTTTCAGAAAATGGCCATGAAGTAGGAGCAGTCCAGCTCTCGGAGTATCCCATCTATCCGCTGGAATAGAAATATTGGAATGCAACTAAAACGAGTTAAAGAGAGTAGAATTTTTTTAAATACGCCAGTTATTGTATGAAATAAACAATTATTTCTTTACATTTTTTTATAAAGTACGATTTTATTTCATGTTGCTTTTAATGGATTTATAGTGAAGCACAAAACATTTGGCAAAGGGCAATGCTGGATGTATTGTGACGACTGACGTTTATAAAATAAGACCATATCCAGTTGGTGACATCATATCTGCGGGAAATCCAGAAGAACAAAGAACATGATCCATGGTCCGTGTGGACCATTGAACATGAACTGCCTGTTCGCCTTGAATTCGCCAGAAAACACCTGACTTGTCCCATCTTAGTGGCAGAATGGAATTGCCTCTGTTTGAACCTCCGCCAGAATTGAATTCGTTGCTCTATAGAAAATAAAAACACTACCTTTTGGCCCCACAATTTTCCATATATGAAAAATAAACAACAAATACGGGTTATGTGTGCGTGTGTGCGTGTATATGTGCGTAAGATGAAGTCGTTACCGACTCGCAGCTTGTACACCGCAAATAATTTTGTGTTTCCAAACATTTTGTTTCAAGATCAAAACAATATTATACCGCAATTTAGGGGGGAAGTTTCGTGTCGCTTTGCAGGCATTTTTAAATGCTCCTCCAAAATATTGAACGCCTTCCACTAAAGTTAGTTGTAGGCTATTGTTGTTCTGTGCTTTCTAGCGTCATATTCACAAAACTCCTGATATGTTCCAAATGGTGTTTATCTTCGATACATACGCAAATTTAGTTGATCCTTCATTAATGTGGGTGCTTAAACGGTCGAGTTATATATTTTATGAAGCTCATTTTCTAGACTCACCAGAATTTAGATGATCTTTCCTTAATGTGGTATTCTGCGATTGTACTGTTGCATAATGCTTGAGATGTGGTTATTCTTGTATATGAAATGATCACGATGCAGTTCGTATTTGAACGAAACAAAAAACTAACGAAGTTGTCCTCAAATAAATACATAGAAAATATAACGATGAAATACATATACAAATATAAAAGAAAAAGCTTGTGGGTAATAATGTGGCTGATAATTAGTTACGATCGGGCCGTCGTTACAATAAGTACGGATTTCCCGGCGAATCAGACGGGCGAGGCAAGTTGGATTCATTGGCCAGTTGCTCAAGAGTTTCCCGATCAGCGGGCACGGAATTTTCCAAGCCGGTTGGGTCGGCAAACAGGTTGAATTGGGGTACGCTAGAATTGGCCGGGTGCAGGCTGTGGTCCGGACGCGTTTGGGTGGCTCTGGTCCGTCTGTTTACGTGCTGCAGATGAACAGGCGAACTCAACTCCACATGATTCACATACGCCTGACTATAAGGCAGAACGCTTGTAATAACGGGCACCTCGATTTCCCCCTGTTGGTCTGTAGGCGCTGGTGCGCGTTCTTGTAAGGCCACTGGTTGTGGTTGCTCTCCCACTGATATAGTATCAAGATCCGCTGACTGTGCTGCTTGCGAAGGGTCCCTCAGCTGCATGGGCTCAAGTACCGGTGGCAATCGAAGCAGATCCGGATGCAGAATTAATGACCCTGACGGTGGTGGTGGTACCAAAGGTTGCTGTGGCAGAGTACGAAACGGAGGTAGTCTGATCGGCGCTTCGTAATCTCGTTCATTTTCTACCTCATATATAGTATCGAGCTGCGGCTCGAACCTAGGTGATCGAATTGATTGACCAGGCATTGTTGCGTTTAAGAAGTGACGCGGTGTGCCTGGACGCTTATTCCGATGCTGTGGTACTCGCGCTATACGCTGGGGTTCCCTCTCTTGATCTGCTCCATTTCTGGCATCATCATAATCCGCTCCTTCTGGCGCTTCGGTGTTGTCATCCTCCTGATTGTCATAAAGTCGCGGACTCTCTTCATCTGTCTGATCAGAATTATCACTATGTAGTTCGCTCGACTCGCTGCTCCCAGTTTGGTCTGTACTGTCAACGGAATCGTTCTCTCCCGCCTCCAAATCCATAATTATTTGTATCATTTGATCAACATCGCTTGGACAGACTATCGGCGGCTGGTCTTCAATCTCCAGTGGTGCTTCCATGCCTTCATTTTCGATTGGTAGGCTTCTCTCGCGCATGGCGATCAACCTAAATAGAATAGACCGCACTAGTCTGCGGCACCGCATCTTGTGTTCCTGAATAAACGTCACGTCTTGCATCGGATCCAACTGAACAGTACATAAGAGTGTGAGAGTGAGAGTGAGATAGAGAGAGAAAGGGAGGGATGATGAAAACAGTTCACATTCAAGTTTTTGCAGCTTACCTGATGTCGAGTGTTGAATATGTACAAGTTCCAAGCAAGAAAGCCGCTTCCGACTGTCATCGTAAACGATAATAGGGCGAATATGAGTAATGAATCGTTATCCGGTGGACTCTTCACCCATTTGAAGCTTTCCAAAAACATATAAAAGTGCAAGCTGATGCGATTGAATAGGCCGGAAACACCACCTGTGCGGAGGAGGGGAGGGGAGGGAGGGGGGTGGGGGGCAGATAATATAGGAAGGTTGCATTAATCGAGAAAAGAAATGTGTATGGGACAGAGAATAGTGGCGGCAATTAAAAACTTAAGAGCAACACTGTCGAAAAATTCGAGGTATTAAATCTGCGCTACAAAACAAATAAAATGCAATTAGCAAGATTTGAATTAATTAAGTAGTAAGTAGCAGGGACATACGTAGAGTATACAAACATACATACACATAGGCACGACTACTGTTTGTATGGTATGACAAGGTATATACTTTTGTACGAGCATGTATGTATGTATGTATGTATGTATGTAGTAAGGACCAAGCCTGCTGAAGACATGTGGCAGGCAGACTACACACACGCACTTATGTCTTTTGTTTATCTTGCGCAATGCATAGACAACGACGGCGACGACGGCGACGACAATGCAACGAGCGAGGCTGGCAACGTGTTGCAGAAGGGGGGTGAATGAGCGGGAGAGGACAACAGACAGACGACAACAGGAGGAGGCAAGCAACTCTTTTCGGGCTAGCCACCGAACCCACCTTTCCCCATTCGCACTCGTACTTTCGCTATTGCCAGAGAGAAACAGCCAACAACAGCAAAGTGCAATTATCGCAAATACCTTAAGGTTTACTTCGTCAATGTGGCAGCGACGGGTGGGTGGGTTGTTTGGTTGGCTTGGATGGATGATGGTCTGGTCGGGTCGGGTCTGGTCGGGTCTGGTCTAGTGTAGTAGCACTGGCGTGCCTGCCTGGTGCAGCAACGGGGCGATGGTGACGGCAGCTGGGGCCACAGGTGTGCCAAGCAAGTCCTTGTGCCTTATGTGTGCGCCAGTTGTATGTCTGTCGGTCCGTCCGTCTTTCCGTATATCTGTCGCTCTGTGTTTACCCAAGTGCTTTGTATTGAAGTGCATTTTGGCATGTAATTTGTAGTTCTTTGCTATTTGATTTTTGAGCAGAGTGCTTAACCCCAAACCCCCAAGCCTTGCCGACAACTTGGCCGTGGTGTACGGAGACGAGTTGGTTCTAAGGTCTTAGCCCATTTTATTACAGCCATTGTGTGCGTCTGAGCCTCAGACGCCTCTGTAGAGCTATGTGTGATGAGTGAAGACCCATTAAGAGGCAGACAACAATTGATTGGTTACCGAAAAAGTTACTTTACACGAATTCAAATGCACTCTCCTGCAGGCACACAACTCGATTTGATAGAAAGTTTAATTCGCAATACGAGTATTTATTGCATTTCTCTCTATGCCACGATCAGTGTCAGGAGGAATACACTCGCACGAAGTGGTTCCCATGTCAACCAAGAACAAATGCTGCTTAAGGCAGACCAGGGCAGCCAGCCAGCCAGCCAGCAAGCTAGCAATGTTGTTGTAGTTAGTTGTTAGCCAACCAGTGAGCCAACCAACAACCAAGGCAGCCAAGTAGTGAGGCAGGCAGGGCAGGGCAGGGCAGGCAAACAGACATTAGTTGCAGTTGCCTTTGATGTTCGATAATTGCAAATTCCATGTGCATGTTTCAGTTCGCATCAAATCGTCGCGCAATGATCGGATTTAAATCAGTAGTGCGAACGGCGCGACTAAATTGATATTTTATCGCTTCAACGACGCCAGATACGAACGAAGGAGACGAACTAACGAAGACGACCGCCTGAGGATCGAAGGGTTCTTTGGCGAGGGCTGTTGCAGTTGGTAGCTGGCCATACAAAAGCTTACAAAATACGACAACGCACAGAAGCTCATAACTCAGGCAGGCGGGGACGGAGGGAAGCTTAGGAGGTGAAAAGCTGGGAAGGTAGGCAGCAGGCGGCAGGCAGTGGCGATCAGATACTCGTCGTACACGCTCAGGGATTAAATCGGAAGTTATGCGAGTGTCAAAAGCTCGTCGTCGTCTTAGTCGTTGTCGTTGTCGCTTCTCTTTTGATTGGTACCGCAGTTTTGGGGTGATGATGGTGATGGTGATGAAGTAAAAATTGTTACCGTATCGAATGCGGATTAAAATCAGCTAAACAAGTTGCCAGTCTCCGCTCGCGTGGACACAGCTGCCAGGATCAGCCACAGTTGAGCAATCAAGCGCATATTGATGGCTATGGGAATGAAGTGGTACAGACCAGACCAGGCCAGTCCAGTCCACACCACAGACAAGCAGACAGACAGACAGACAGACATACCAGTTCAGTTCAGTCCAGTCCATAATATAGTCGATGAACAATCAATTGTATCGCTGGCTCCCTCTGCCATCGTTTGGCGCGCGCCTTTGGTATGTGGAATGAGTGTGGAATGAGTGTGGAATGAGTGTGCAGTGTATCGGGCCAAGTGAAAGGAAGAGTTGGCAGTCGAATTTCAAAAAAGTCAAGTATGCCACCCCGCCCCCACCCTTGCTATGAGAAGAGAAATATTGAAACAGTAGCCTTTTTTCAGTTTGCTTCTTTTAATCAGCAACTTTTGATCAGCGCAAGGGGCTGCGGGTAAGAAGACGATGAGATGAGAAGAACAAATCCTGCAGTAATAATGAAAAGGATTAAACAAATAAATCACTTGACGCTGTTTACAGGACATTTTCAGAACGATTTTTCGCTGCCCGAGGGGATGGATGGCAGCAATGACGAGAGAGAGAAGAAAAGCAGCAAAAAGAAAAGGGTTGCGGCACCCACACCGATTAATGAGTTAAAAATTGTGCTGCACATTCTTTCAATTGTAAATACGAGCACTTAGCCGCAGTTTCAACGCGTCACTCTATCTGCAAAAGCGCAAAATTAATGAAGATATTTTTTCAATGTATCCCCGCATCAGCGTCGGGTGGAAGGGTGTGGTGGGTGGGTGGTTTGGTTGGTGGGTTGGTGGATTGTTGAATTGTTGGGCTGGTTTGGCGGGGACACCGAAATAAGAGAAGAAAAAATCATTTGATTTTTAATTACGCTGATTTTTTATATTAGAACGGAAACAGCTTGGGAGCAAACACCTTGGAAATTAAGGACCAGCCCTGTCCTGCCCACTCCATTGCCCGCAGCCAGCCCAAGTGACTTCGGCAACGCCGGCTGCTGGCCACTTGAGCCACTTTCACGTTGGCCCGGTCCTGGCCGCACGCACGAAAGGGTTTCAACTTAATTAAACCGTTTCTTTTCTCTTTTTTCTTCTTTTTTTTTTTTTTTTGTTGCCTGTATTTTGGTTTCTGTGACTGCTGGACTTTCGTTGAAGTATGACGCGAATGCGCCGCTAACTGGCAACTGTCATCATATTGGCGAAAAGTAAGCACAAATTGACATCTAAAGTGCTTAAAATTTTCTTTAATTAAGTGTGACAAAATGTGGGCGGCCCCGAAATAAATTGTAATGAAATGAAATGGGTTGCCAATTGCTGAAGAGTTGGGAAAATGCCGGCGAACGAACGCAGTGATGGACGGACAAGTTGTCGAGGTTGCCGCTGGTGGGAAGGAAGTTCAAGCCCTGTTTGTCAGACGTTGGATTCGGGTAAGCAAATGGAAACGGAATTAATTTTTCGATAACAACAGGGATAGCTCTAATAGTGCGGCCAACTTTGAAGGCCCAATCATTACCCTACCCTACCACAACTATCAAGCATCATATTGCCTCGCATCTCAATTAGAAACTAAAGTTGAATTATATTAGAAAAATCGTTCTAGCTTGGAAACCATTCTACAGGAGTTGCTGAGGAGAGTAATGCAGATGAGGTATGAACAGTTCTATATTTGCAGGCATGTGGCACTGAGACCCACGCAGTGGCAACAACATAGCCAATGCATGTCTGACTATAGAGCGCTGCGCTCTCAATGGGGCTCATTTAAAACTCGTAAATAAGCAGAGTGCAACATTAATAATTGCTGATTAATCGCAAGGCTCGTACGAGAACTCCACCGATCGACTAGTCAGCCACCACACGAGGGGCAGCCAGACCGACAGACAGCTGGGAGAAGCACTCGCGCCTACGTGAAGCTCAAATTAAGTAATTTAACCCTTTGGATAAAGGCTGGTCAAGCTTCTGGGCCATATACTCGCATAGTGTGCACGAGTAGGTGGCGATACACCGAACCGGTTTCCTTGGCAAACCGTGATTAAGCGAGTAGCCGTTGCCGACAGAGAGACAGACGCACATACCAGTTGCAGTTGATCAGTTTAGTTGGATTGGATTCACTTAGCGAGAGTTATTAGTTATTGTTGCACTTACTGAATTGACCCTCCGGCGCGTGGGTGTATCGCAGCTTATCCACTATATCCTCCATATGCACTCCCGGAACAGCAATGGATTCTTTCACCGTGTCCATTTTTTGACTATGGTTCACAGTTGCTCTCTTGATAGCTTCTCTCACAGGCTGCTCTTGATAGCCTTGTTAGTATCAAAACGTATGCTCTTAAGTATCCAGTGAAAAAGATGGAAAAGCGATTCTAATTCACTTTTAAGATCCTTTACTGTTGAAGAATTGATTTTTCTTCAAAGCTCGTCCGTATTGAAGTATACTGATTGATACTATATATCATCAAATGTCAAGTCTATCGACAACTTTCTGAAAAACAGTGAGAATCGTCATAAGTTGATTGAAAGGTACACGAGTCAAGGATTTACGTTCGTCTGCGACGAAGCTATATGCCCTTCACTGTGCCTTACAACAAATACCCTATTCTTCCGTGGTAATAGGCAAAGAGTTAGGCCAAGCCTTGAGTCTTCACCTGTTACCTTTTCTGCATTTGGTCATCCGTGGTCAACTTGTAAGTGAATGTAAAAGAAAGACGAAGCAACTCATGCTAAAGTTCTTCTGAGCTATACGGACGGACGCGCCGACATCAGGATTTGGATTCGTCTTGCCATTCTTCTCTTTGGGCATCACAAACTTACGCACCAAAAGTAATATACCCATACTCCCTTCAGTGTCCTCTTACATTCTTTATGCATATGTTTATAGATGTATGTTATCCACTTACTTTTTGCACGTACGTTGCTTAGAATAATTCCGTTGGCTTTTCTGCGGCTCCTGCGATCTGCTCCTGCGATCTCCTCTGCAAAAGCTCGGTAGTGGCAAATTATGTAGGACGTCAGAAGATAGTTTCCTTATGGGAGAGAGAGATGTGATTCGATTTTTTAAGTTGTTGAAAAAATATTTTTCGACTTGCTATTAAGAAATACTTTTTTTTATTACAGAAAATATGTGCTTGCTCTAAGGCTGGCGATTTGTGAATGAGAAAATTTATTTTACCTCACACGGAACTGTGTGAATCGAAAAGCAAAGCCTACTAGTTTTGGAAAAATTCCAAGAAAATGTTCTCCAAATGTCAAATGGCATAAATAATAATCAATTTGAAATAAAATCGAAGCGCAGCAAAAGTTGAGGAGCCATCAGTGTCGACGGCTTGCCCAAAAATCAGAATTGATGATTATTGCTTTCTGACAGAGATTCGCTCGATGGCGACAATAAAACCAAACTCATACACACACACACACACACACATACACAGTCGAGGCATCGGCCGAACTCTTGGCCTTTAATGGGATGAACATTGTATGTGTCTGTGTGTTTGTGTGTGTGTGTGTGTTAGTATCAATAAAATAGACGGAGGGCAATGCAAGGCAAAAATATATTTATGTCCATGTTATAGTAAGTGCAAAATAATAGCTGGCGAAGAATAGCCTGACGGACGGGGCGTGACGGGGCAGAGGGGGTGGGGGTGGAGCGGAGGGGAGCGATGAGCTGGGAAGCAGTCCAAACGGTTAAACAGCCGAGCACGTAACTGAACGCAGTCGAGTCGGTTGGTTGCCAGCCATCTCCTTCGCATACTCGTCGTATGTGTAGTAAAAATGTTTCAACAATTACCGGGGAAAATGATGTGTGTGTGTGTGTGTGTGTGTGTGTGTGTGTGTGTGTGGGCAACGGGCAATAATGCACTCGACACTTTTATTTCTTTTTCATTAGCCAAAAAGCGACAACGACAAAGAAGACGACCAGGACCACGGCCAGGACAACGCCCCCCGCCCATGTCATCAAGTAGGGCACAAGACGCGCGCCTTTCCCTTTATGCTCTGACCTTCAAATGTGTTGTGTGCGTCGGACAGAGCGGACATTCACGATATGTGCTCTGCAAATGGTGGACTGTCCTATGCTCTACTATTCCACAATACTCACACACCTTTAAGAACTTTTGTTGTTTGCCTTGAATTGCTTTTTCTGCGCAGGTACTCTGCTTGAACATTTCTTGGGATTGAGATATTCCTAACTACTTTCGATCAACTATAATGTAACTAAAATATGTAGCTAAAGCTTCACAAGTAATTTGCAAATGATGAATGGAATATTGTGGAACATTCCCAATTGACTTAAAAGAAGAACCCACTGATCGCAATGTCTTCATATTATTTCGCAATTAGAGTTGTAAGAGGCAAGATAGATACATAGTGTGTATTAGAGGTGGGTGGATTACTTACAGCTTTCGGGGTTCTTTACCTGCTAGAAAAATTTCGTTTTTTTATAACACAAATATTTTGTGGTTCTCTTCACTTTGACTGCTTTTGAATACGGTACGTAAGATTTTTATTTAACTAATCCACTGGCTATAGCGTTTGAAATCATAAATGAAATTTTGAAAACCCAGCCAGCTTGGAAAAAGGAAACCCATATAAAAGCATTATTCAAAACCAAAAGAAAAAATGTTTGAATCGAAATACCCCGCATTTCATGCTGATTAAGAATATACATATACTTTATAGTTAACGGGGTCAATGCATATAGCCCAGAACCTAGTATGCCCTCGGATACAGGGAATAGCCAAGGATATTTAAACTTGCTTACCTGCTCCACAAATGATTTCGGGAGCGGATTTCACAGCTTCTTTCCAAATCGGAATATGAATTCAGAAAAAATACAAGGGAGCCAATCCAATATCAATAGAGTTGGCACGTATTGTTGGCGTATTGTTGTCGAGAGCAGTGGATATCAGATCTTCCTCTTCACACGATACTCACAGCTTTATCACAGCTTTTCTTTGAAAATTAAATTGAATATTCGTTTGTTGTTTTCACTCTTACTGCTTTCGAAACACTGAAAAATGAGCCTTAAAAATTAAGAAAAATCTTAATTTAAAATCAAGAGCTACTGCGATTGAAGATAGAAATGGGGACGCAGAGACTGATAAAACAACACTAGCTTTATATTATTCATTTGCACAAAGAGAGCACCAAATTATTTTTAAATTTGTTAAAATCAAATAAATAGTATCAGCACTTTACAAATAAATAAAGATGAGGGACAGGTGCGTGGAGAACTCGAAACAACCGAATCGGCAGAAAAAGGTTCACATTCCGCTCCTCACAAGACAGAGAATCAACGATTGTAGCGCAGCAAGTCTGTCCTACAATTGGTGTCTACTTTTACTATTTCACTCACACACATACATGAACACCCACACACTATCATACTCGTACAGACCCACACATGCACACGCTGGCGACTTTTCTTTTTCTCCTTTATTTTATTATTGTTTATGTGTAGGAAACTACGCGGCTGCCTTCGCTTTCGCAATCGCAATTTCTTGTGTTTGTTGCTGTCTTTTACTATTCGTATGTGTGTATGTGTGTGTGCGTGTATGTTTGCGGGTGTCGCAGTAGTGGAAATCTATAAATTTCAGGATTTACAACATGTTGGTGCCAACCGGCCTATTGCTCCCCCGAAACGATGGGGCAGGTTGTGCGTCCGCTTTATTTGTTTGCAATCGTTTGTTGGGGGGCGGACGGTGGAAATTGCCTGGCCTGTCATAATTTCTAATACCCTGGACCACACAATAAACTGGGAACGTGTGCAATAGGCGCGGGGTCGTAACCCTACTTTATTATATAATAATGTGGCCTGTAACTGTGAATAAGTATGCCTGCGGTTGTCTGCGTATCTGTGTGTGTGTGTGTGAGCCAATAGTTTGCAATTAGCGACGTGGCAATAAAAATGGCAATCATCATAAAAATAATCGAGAAAAATCGGGCACAGTACAGAATATTTCTCAACCTAATGCGGCTGGTATAAAAAATATTGTTATCGAAGCTCGCCACTGCCTTATGATATTTGCCTTCAATTATGAATCGTCGGTTCCGTCCGTTTATGGCTGAAGTTAATGATATGCGAATTGTTTCGAAATTAAGTCGCACACGTTTATACAATTTGTAACTTTTTAGCTTCCACCTGTTCGTTGTGTATCTGTTATAGACCCATTTCATATCTAATCCAGTTCACGCGCCCACTTTGTTCTATTCTTTCTACACTCTGCGCTGAACTGCAATAACATTTGGTGACCCCGACCGTGATTCGAATTTGCTGAATACAGCTTAGTAACCGAACAGCATATCTTTGGCCTAAACGTTGTACTAGTTCCATCATTTGTACCCTTAAGTACCCATTGCCCCTTCGAACATAACCATTGGTATGACAATAGCTAAGAAGTGGAGTAGAGCTTGTCAATCGCTTTAGATCCAGCTCATCAGTCGCTACTCAGCCCTTGGCCTGCGGCTTAACTGCTATACTAAGTGAAAATTTAATTGAACACGCAACGGTGAGACACCCTACCCCCTCTTCCCTCCTCACCTCTCCACTCCACCACACGCACACACTCAACAACTGTGCACATTTGTGTCATGAAAAGGGGAATCCAAGGGAAAGCAAAAAAAAAATCTATTAAAAAAGTAGCCCAAAAATATTTCCTGAGCGCGTTGTAACGTACAAATTATGTAAACAAAGTGAGTGTGTGTGTGTGTGTGTCTGTGCGGTTATGTGTGAGAAAGACAGATAGATGGACAAGAAAAGACCAACAGAGCGAGTGAAAGGAGGGCAAGAAATTATGAACGTTAGGGGGCTCAGGCAGCAAACAACAGATGAAAAATGCGACCCTAGGCAATATTTACAATTAAAAAATTAACGTAAAACAGACGCAGAAGATGCGACTGAGTGCTGGGGTGGGGATGAGAGTGTGGAGGGGGTGGGGGCGGTCGGTGATGCGGGTGCGAGAGATGCTCGAAAAAACTGTGAAAAAGCCCTAAAATCAATACCAAAAAAACAAAAAACCGAAAACAAAAAAAAAAGAAGTTGAAAACTGGGCAAAACATGGAAAAAGTATAAATGTGTTGGGGTGAGTGGTGGGTGGTTGGTGGTCTCTGCTTCCGCTTCTTCTTCTTCTTGTGGGCCTAATGGAAATTGTATTTATCTCGTTTGAAGTTTTAAAGCGGCTTCATAAAAACCACCACCACCAACGGCAACGGCACCGTCACCGGCACCGGCACAGGAACCGCCACAACGACACTTTGCCTCACCTTGTGCGATGGCCCAACCTAAGTTCGAGACCCCGCCCCCCCATCCCAGTGCCCTTTGGCCAGCCTTAAGCGTTTTTCATAAATTAACAGCAACAACAACCACAAAGAGCAGCGTGCAAAATTATCAGAAAAACGAAATGAATATTTTTTCGGTAATTTTTTTCATTTCTCTGTGTTTGGTATTTTGTGTGCCTGTCAAAAGAAGAGAAAAAAATGGATAAAAATTAGTTAAAATTTTCATAGGTAGTTCTGTGGTTCGGCGAGGGTTGGCTGGCTGGGGGGCTCGGCATACAAATATTCATCGCTTTGCTGGTGGTTGCTTCTTCACTTTACATTTCCGGGCTAATTTGGGCGTTAAAGCGTCTTAGCTGGGCTGTGAAATGGCCAGTTGTTTGCGTTTACTCAAGAGAGGGGGGAGGGGAGAGACTCGATCACAAAAATCAAACAGCTGGCCAAATGAATGCTGACAGCCATCAACTTGTTGCAGCACACCCAGTAACAACCGAAGCCCAAACAAACACTAGACATATGCAATTATCCGGAGACGTCACACATTTTCAAATGGACAGACATTGTTGCAGGTCTGCATTTTAATCGCTCCACAATAAAATGTTATGCACGTCGTGTCTATGTCTCTTCCTCCCTCTCTCTCTCTCTTTTTCTCTCTGTGTGTGTGTGCAAACACAATTTTCGCACTTATTTTAGAGTATTATTGAAAAAGTTTTCGCATCATCGAAACATTGCAATTGGCCAAACAACGCACGTGTTTCCTACGTGGCCGACAACCCAAGTGCTGGCATTTGAAAGTGTTGTGCTCCTCTACCAAATGTTATTATCCCAGCTGCCACTACTGCAGAGGCAATAATAATCATATCAACAAAGTTTATTGCTTCATTTTTGGCCATTTACACGCGCGCGAGTTTTGTCTGACATTTGGGCTAAAAGTTTTCAAATTCGCTCAAATGGCGATTGCGATAGTCAGAAAAGGGGTAGAGATGTTGAGAATTGTGAGGGGTTATCTGGTAATCAAACGCCTAGGTCGCTGAATTATAATTATATTTTAAATAATAACAGTTTTGCATGTCCTGGGTCTACTTATTGAAAATGGCAAGGGGAATATTTACAGTTCTGATGGCTAAAATGCCATTTTTAAATAGAAAATGTAGTTGAGCCATTTGTTTACTGTTAGAAGAATCTTCAATGATACAACCGGTTAACCGGTTATCGGATATTAAAAAAGAACATGGCATATTAATGAAAAATAAATCAAACATCAATCAAAAGAAAGTACTTTTAACTCTTCAGTAAATAATTTTATAAGCCGCCTTAAACAGTGCTACAGAGAGCAGAATGTAAACGCTTTAAGCTAAACAGTCTTTATTGCCTATAAATATTCTAAAATGTTGGCTCTTTATTCACCAAACTTGATTCTCCTTTTTCCCATTCCGCTGCATTTTGTGGCAGCTGCGCCGCATGATGTCATTGATTTGTTTTAACCACCCGGCCAGCCAACTCTTTGGCTTAATAGACAATTCACGAACATATTCACGCACTTACACACACACACACACACACACACACACACACACACACACACACACACACATTCTTTTGCCACCCATTCCTACGTACATACATGTACGAGTATGTGTGTGTGCCATCGCCGATGTCTTAAAAGTGCGCTTCCGTTTCCGCTCCCACCCTCGCCACTCGCTGTCTCTCCATCCATACACACACACACTCTCATATACGAGTATATAATGTCTTTGTGAACTTTCCGAAGGCGGCAGCCGGATTTGCATATGGCTGGGGACAGGAAAGCTTCGTGCCTGCCCCCCCTCCCCTGGCTTCCCTCTGCTTTCCTTGCCAACTGTCAAATTTTATGATAGCGCCAAACATAACTCATTGACAGCTTTGCATTTTCACATGCCGTTCTTCCTGGGGGTTGTTCCATGCTGTTGTTGTTGTTGTTATTGTTATTGGCACTCTTTTCGTTGGGTTGTTGCTGTTGTTGTTGTCTTCTGCATATTGCACAAAGTTATGAGCCGCAAATGATAAACGGCCCCCCGTCTTTGGAATGGGCGACTATGTATTGATTTTTTCCACATTCATTGTCATTTCTTTTTAATTTTCTATTAAGTTCCCATCCCAATCCCATCTCCCCCCATCTCTTTGCTCCTATTGTTTTGCCAACGCTCGTCAAGTTGGCCAGCAAACGCGTTTGTTTTGTCATCAACCTAATTAATTAATTAGAAAGAAAAGCAACAACAAAGGCGAAAAAAGAGAAAATGCTCGCATTCGTTTGGTGTGAAAACCTCGCTGCGGGCGCACCTCAGAATAATCTAATGTACATACATATAAGTATGTATATATAACGATATATGTATGTGAGTGTGTGTGCAATAAAAATGTGTCCCCAGTCTAATTAGATAGTTGACGGCAGTCGTTGCTGTTGGCGCTACTTTTGGACGCAGTGCGTGTAATTCATCAAATGTCATACCAACGCTGACGTCGCCCGAACTCGAGAAATACGTGTAAAGGGCAGCTCCACACAAATGATGGCTGCATGCGCCCAATTTTAATCCATATCCTCTTGATATACAAATGGAAGAAGGAGCGTTGAAAAGTAGTAATAGTAGTGCAGAACTGTTGACGATCTTGTATTCATCCCAGTCTCAAATGAATTATGTACCTTACATCATCCTTGGTGTTCAATCCATTACAGAAGTGAGAGTTCTCCATATTCATAAAATATTCATGTTGAGTTAGCCTGCATCTCAGATTTCAGAGTATTTAGCAGTCTCTACTCTTCCGCTCCCTCATTGCCTTAGGTGCCTAGTTCTGAACAGTTTGTGTTTTATTTCACGAAATCGCTGCTTTGCCATTTGTGTATTTATGTTTGGCCCGCTCTTTTAGCTCTGAAAAACATCTTAAGAAAATAGGAGGCTCGTCTTTAATACACTTTTCCATATAAACGAGTTTCTATATTTATTTTTTATTTTATTTATCTGCTCTCCATCTGCAGCTCTAATAACTTGCAAATCCTTCATATCCGAACGGAAGTCGCCCTTAAAACGCCGTCAAGTGTGTTACGAGAAAACAAAACAAAACAAAACGAAAAACAAAACAAGAAAATAAAGAAGGCAAGGAACAGCAGCTCTTCATATATAGATAACATATTTTCATATATCCGCTTGTGTTTTCCGTCCTTGTGCCGCTGTCTTCAATTCGTTTTTATTGCCTTTTATAGTCGTTTATAGTTTTTTATGCCAACCCATAAATTTCCCTTTCTTTGTTTTTGCCTCGTTTTTTTTTTTTTTTGCTGCCATTCTTATCTTTCTTCTGTTGCCAAAGGGTAGTTCGATTGCTGAGGCTGCGGTCGAGAGTTGTGTGAATGAAAATAGAGTGGGCGAGAGCAGGAGCAGGAGGAGGAGGTGGAGGAGGAGCTGCTCTTATTTCATTTTACGCATTTTGTCAATTTCAATATTAGCGCGTGCGCCTAAAACTATGCAATGGAAATTGTCATGCATGCAAATGACTTCATTGCCATCAATTGTTGTGTGCGTGTGTGCCAAATATTTCGTCATGGCTCGGTTCGAGACTCGAGACTCGCGGCTCGCCTCGTCTCGACTCCACTCGACTCGACTCGACGCCACTTTGCATGATTGAATTTTTCCGCTCGCAACGGCTTGACTCATTTTTATGATTTTTTATTATTGTATGTACATTTATCCACACACACACACACACATATATATAGAAATAAGTATGTGTATGACATATTACCGCATACTCTCAGGCGTTCAGTTCAATAGCTGCCAAAAATCACTTATGTATGCGCCTTGCGTTGCGCCCGTAAACAACTTTAATAGTTATTTGGCATTCGACAAAATCATGCCTAGGGGGTGAGCGGTCACAAAAGGGGTTACAGACCATGCCCCATGCTCCACACCACCGAAGCCAAAATGAAGAATGCAGAAGAAAACAAAGACAATTTCTTGGCTAAGAACTAACAATCATGAACTCACAGCTTAAACTAAAATGCAATCCGCTAAACGAAGTGGAGCTTGTGAATCAACCTCAATCCAAAGGAACTATCTGCAGACGATTAAGAACTTATCCAAAAACTGTTAGCCTCTCCACCACTTACTGTGCATATTAGAAAACTATTAATGACTAATATGCAGCTAATTAAAATGAATGGTGCTGCAATAAAGTAAGAAACCTTAGAAGTGAAATATTTGCAGGAAAAAAAAAACACTTTTGAACTTCAGGTTAGACCGTATTTACATTTTTGAAAAGTCAGTCATCATAATTTCGATTTCAAAATTATATGTTTAGCACTTTTTCGATCCAAAAAAAGAAAACCCCCGATAGTTAATACATGCAGCGCTAACTCCAATCGCCGACATGAGTTCTTGGATGCTAATGGATGCCACCGCCGTCGAACAGCCGTCCGAGGGAGAGAGTGGTCAGGGACTGATCTCAATGGTGTGCATGATGCTCATGCCCATATGCTCTGTTCCGAATGTGGTGCCCTCGAATCATCACAGACTATTCGTGGTCACTGTCCTGCTGTTCTATGTGGCCTATCGCCTGTTCCAATGGTATAGGAACATTGTCCTCAGTCCGCGACGACGCGAGGTAAGCTTAACCCTTGTCGCGCATGTTTTGGAGTTACCAGCGTCGCTATCGGACCCGTTTAATCGCGCTTCATTCATCATCCAAATCGACTTCCGTTCCGTACCGTCGCACGGGACATTTGTATTCGTATATTCGAGCATTTGCACTGACTCATGCGGTCGCGATGCGATGCAAACTATTGATAAGGCCCCCTCTATGGTTGTGGCTTGGGGGCGGGGGCCGGGGAGGTGGTCTGCAGGGCCTGGAGGGCTACTGAGCTGTGGAGCTGACGGGGGGGGGGGCGTGGCCTGCACACAACTACTTTAATGGCAATTTTATCGATAATGTTCGTGCTGAATTTTCGATTTTGTTTGCTTGCATGTTGCTGCGGTTGCGGTGGCAGCAATGGAAAAAAAAACAACAACAGCAGCAACAAAATGAAAATAAAAACAAATTATGAGCGATCGACACGCCAACAAGTTAGGCCCGCAACTTCTGCAAATCGCAGTGTATTTGCGTGTGTGTGAGTCTGGATTTTTGTGCATGTGTGTGTGTGTGTGTGTGTGTGTGTGTGTGACGTTGATTTAGTAATTTAGCACACAATGTGTTTGTGGGTTTTGGCCACAGCAGCAACAAATTATGGACACGCGAATATCGAACGCTGAAACGTTGAACACTGAACGCTGGAAGGTTGAACGGTGATGGGCGGCTATGTCGGCTATGGCGGGGGGCGTGCCCGCCCTATCAATTAGAACAGTCGGACGGACTTCAATGAAACATCTTGATAAGCATTGGGCAGCTCTAGAACCAGACCCAGACCCAGCTCCCACACACAATCGCAAAGCATAAATAAATAAAAATAAAGTGCCAACAACGAAATGCGCTTCAAACGGTCATTAAAAATGTGGCGAGGACCTAAAAGCGTGCACTACTAATTGCCACATAAATAATAAGCCGAGGGCTGCCCATTAAATTACAACAGACAGAGCGAAAGCGACAACCAGAAATGGCAAAACAAAGCGCATAATAATTTATCGGCTACAGATTATCGATGATATATACCAGGCCGGCCAATGCCAGCCGCACTTTTACATAATTATGCCAGCGCCAACCGTTCGCCCCTTCCCCAAAATATAAGCCAGCGAGTTCTTAGGCATCTGTAATTATTGCCAATAGTTGTTGGCCACTCGGGGTTGCTTTAGCTCTTAAGTCACAATCACACATTAGACATCAGACGACATCAGAGGCCGCACGTGCACTCCACCGTGGACAAAATACAATCCCCACTCCTCTCCCTCCTCTAGGCACGCCTGCTGGCCAGACAAGCGATGCGTCAGGCGGCCAACCTCGACATGATGCAGCAACTGCAGGTGCACAACGGCGAGCGCATCCTGCGCTATGTCCTTGTGCTGGATCAGTGTAGGAATGCGTTGCTGCAGCCAGAAATCGCGCCAGTGCGGATCAAGTAAGTTTTTCGGACATAGCACAGCATAAATTTGACTTTTTATCCTGCCAGCGTATCAAAACGCCATCGCATAGAGCCAGATGGGGAAAACAAAAATGTCCATGCGGAAGAGCAGCAAATGCTGGAATGTTCACAGGAACAAAAACTGGAGAAGAAGGTGAGGCAGAACTCCGAGGAGACTTCACGGCAGGAGCTGGAAGAACAACAGCAGATAGTGGAAGAGGCACCACAGCACAAGCTTAGAGAGCCTCAGCGGCAAAAGCTGGAAGAGTCGAAACGGCAGGACCCGGAAGAGCCACATCAACCACAGGCGGAGGAAATAAAAAAACGGAAACTGAAATGTCAACCAGAACATCAAAGCGGTAGTGCTTGCGAAAAAGTAGTGCGAGTAAGAATATATCTTTAGTGAGGCTGTCTTTGCAAGAGAGACATCATCTGTCTGTCTTCTTATAAGAGTTTCTTCTGCAAACTGTAGGGTAGTGTCTCTAAGGCAAACACAGTCTCGAAACAGGGTCAAAGCGTATTTGTAAGAAAAGCAACGTTTTTTACAGGACGGAAGCAGTGTTCCATCCGTTCGCAGAAGAAATCGTTCACTCAGCCCATATACACTGACGAGAACAAACATCATTCCGATGCCCGTGCGAGTTCCCGAGTACGAGATCGGCATAGATAGCAGTGTCAGTAGAAAATCCAGCATAGTATCGAAGAGCAATAGACCTCAGCATTGTCTTGGAAAAAAGCGGAGAAATGAATATTAGACACCCCTCTTTAAAAAGGATACAACAATGATCAATTTCAGGCAATCATAATTTATGTTTCCTGAGACCATGTCAACGACATAATTGTGAGATTGAAGGTCTGATTTAGAAAAGACAGTGTCTAGTGCAACTCTTTTTTGCTATATTTATATTACTTGTGTACTGCTGAGGATCCATAAACGCCATGTGTTTTCAATCGAATAAAATTTCAATATTCATAGAATATTCGTTTCGATTTGGACTGGGAATGGGTTGGCATGCACAACTGTACTTTGTTTGTATTATGGCTCAATGAGCTGGGTGGCAGGAAGTGACAATTTTCCAAAGACGATTGCCATAGACCCATTACCCATGAAGTCTCATAGTTTGGTGCTCCTTTCTGGCCTCGTCGTCGCCTGCAACTTGCAATGAACGAAGCATTAAGTTCAATTTCAGCTACCAGATCAGAATTTATGACATTGACGAAACGATAAAAACGTTGCCAACATTGGACGGCAGCACATAAATGTGCATTAAATGTGGCGGGCGGGGGGCGAGGTGGCGGAATGGGGGAGGCAAGCAATATAACTGACCACACAACATGAAAATGAAATGCGATGCTCAAACGCATGTCAGAGGAGGTCCAAGGCGAGAAGCAGACAGGCAGGCAGGCATGGAGGCAGTAAGAAGACAGTTGCCAAAAGCCTAAAACTATTAATTTCAACGTGGACGAACGCACGGATGGGCAAAAAGCTTCCGCAATACTACCGTCTGGATGGGAGGGTGAGGTGGAGGTGGAGCTGGAGCTAGAATTTGTGGTAGATAGAGAAATCTATATTTACGATTATTGAAGTTTATGACGAAACGTTTTCGTATCATTTTGCGTCGTCACATAAATGTTAAACGAGAGACGGACACAAACACACGACGATGGCAACTCTGCGTCCCGTGTCCTTTGTCCTGCGCCCTGGGGTTGTGCGCGTTTTCATAAATGCTGGCACGCAAGCTGCTAATAATGCTGTCCTACCCATAGGAGTGAAGCACAGGTGCTGGAGGGTTGTTGTTACATCGGCGATGGCCACAAAAGTGCAACACGCTCGTAAAACCAATGAGCAAATAGCTCGTCCGTCGTCAAACAGAAGGCCCCCGCACCCGCACCCGCACCCATAACCACACCAGGCCAAACCAAAGAGAAATACGTAAAAATGTTGTGTAATTACGTAGCGTTACGCACAGATAGACGATGGCGATGACCATGATGAGACGACCTCGGCGACTCTGACGATGCTGACGAACGGTAAACGGCAAATGGTAAATAGTAGGATGGTAAGCAGCTCAACCCCCACCTCAACCTCAACCCCAACCCCAACCCCAACCCGAAACCCATCCCCATTCCCGTCCCTGAAACTACAGTCAGCCCCTTTGACTTGACCATTGTCAGTTGGAAAAATCATAATTAGGCTTCGGCTCATTTTTCGCTTACTCCGCCTGCTCCGGCCCTGCTCTCGTGTATGTATCTTCCTATATAGTACATAGACACACTATATATGTATGTGTATGTGTGTGTGTGTGTTTGTGTGTGTGTGCTTTTTATTGTTTTAATGAACACATGAGTGCAATTTCGACATGGTTGGATTCGGTTTGTGGACAATGGGTGGAGGCTGGAATGAAAGTTCTTGTAATTGGTCTTGTGTTACTTTCTCGTCGATATGAAACAATTTCGGTTACGACCAAATGTTGATGGGTGGGCGGAGGACGGGTCTACCACTAAAGAGCTGCCACAGGAACTTCAGCATATTTGGTGCAGCTGCTACATGCGTAGCTCTTGGATAACGCAATAACTAGTCTGCAGCTGGCAGTTCCATATAGGAAGCTTCCGCGCTCGAAACTGATACAAATTGAGATAACTTTCAAATCTAATAACTTAATCTGAAAGGCTGTCTAATCTAAAATAAAAGTAGACCATAAAGTTTCATGAACATTCCTTGAAGGGCACATCAGCAAATTAAATCTTACTTTTCTTGTTTTACTAATCTTTTTAAATTTAGTGAAAGCTATATGTGTATTTTTAAGCAACGACGTTTCAAATTCCACATAGTAAGTACTGTCGACAACTATCAATGGCTATCTATAACTATAGAGAAACTCAGATTTCGTACGCCTATCTGGAAACTCTGGAGAAACATGTTCAATACCTTAAATGTGACACCTTAGAGATAGAGCCGATATCAGGAATTGTATAAATATACGTGAAAGTATTGGAGCTGTTTCGACCTTTTTTTGAATTTCAGATAAAAGGAAATGCGCAAAGGAAAAGGGCAAAGAAATTATATTTAATAATTGTCGCTTCATATAGGAATTATGAGGTCTTTGTTAACAGCTTTGCTTTCAAACACTCCTGGACCCATCCCTAATGTTGTATCTATGCTTATAGGACTTTTCTTCTGGCTCCATTATAAAAAAGAACGAATTTCTTGTAAAGCCAACAACTTATTGAAGCCCTTCATAACAGATCCAACAATCTGTAATTAGCTTGGCAGCAGCAAACTGACTTCAACCAGAAATGGCCTTCTCATAACATTATGCCGGGTCCAGCTATAAAAAGCGAAGCCAATATATGTATACGCGACGGATATATAGGCACATATGTGCATATGTATACTCGTATGGGTGTACTTATATCTACAGGGAAATAGCCATGCAACAAGGCAAGCCTGCCAGGCTTTGACACTCGACTGGCACTTGGGCATTAACAGGAGAGGAGCAGCAATAATGGCAGAAATAACATTTAAGCGAAATCGCTTTAAAATCAATTAACCGTAAAATCACTCGCAATTTGCGCGAACGGCACACAATACGGCAGCAGTGGCAGTGGAAGCAGCAACAACAACAACAACAAGAAGAGCAAAAATTAAGCTACATATTGAAGTTGAAGCCTGGGGCTGCACAGGACGAACCTGGCGACCAAACAATCAAATGTGGTGGCAATAACATTAGCTTCCATAACCCCGGAGTCGCCGTTGGACGCGGTATGGCCAGACAGACCCATCATGCGTCCATGTGTGCAGCATGCAGCTCGGAGGCAGGGACAGGAAGTGACAGCCCCAAACAACCCCCAGCTAGTCAACGAGAGAGGCCACTTGACTGCTGCACTGCGCTCTTAACCAGATCGCCCGGACGTGCTGGCAAGCAGGTATTAACCTCCATTTAATGTTAAACAAAGCCGCGTTACATGTGCAAAAAAAATGTAAAAAATCAAAATGGAGTATGAAAAAGTGCCACGCCTTTGAAGGCCCCAAACATTTCGATTAACATACGCAAACGTACAGCAGCCGGGGAGGACCGTACAAATTAAAAGCGCGCTGGCGGTGGAAAATTGAATTGCCGGCACACAGGAGCCGCAGAGAGGGAGAGCCGAAGTACAGGGAAAAAAATAACAAACGACAGCACCAGAATCTGTTTCATCGTCGAAATCATTTTGTGTATAACGGACCAATTAAGCGAACGTGGCTAATGACATTAGACCACAACTGGAGGGGAGGAGGCTAGCTCAGAGTGTTGCGATGACATAATGTTGTATTGTATTAGATGCATAGTTGAAGGACCTTCGACTAAAATTGAACGAAACTATACTCAATACTCGCAATACTCCTCTATAATGGCAAAGATCTCTAATTTTAAACAGAGGCCTTTTTATATTGCAACTAGCCGGCAGCCTTAAAACGCTGATTCTAAAGAACAAAAACCAAACTGAGAACTATTTTTGGAAAACAACTTTGCAACAACAACAACAACAGCAGCACTGCAGTCAACACAAAAAAGTATGCAAGTATGAACTGAAATTCAATGCATTTTTAAGTCAAATCCAACATAGATTAAATAGTCTTAATCTTAATTTTTGGTTTCTTCAGTTAGGGTATTCAAAAAACGCAGTGGCAAGATATATGAATCTCGTTTTATGGAGTTAAGATCAGCACTTTTCTTCCCTCTTAGCCAAAAATTATGCAAACAAATCTTTAATGCGGAAATAAAATATAAACTTCCTAAGAAGCTAAGGGATTTCTTTAACATATTTCCCAATGAATGTCCCTATATAATAGCCATATAGATAGATAAATATATTAAGTTATAGAGTAAACAAAGCTTCGGTAAATGTGAGATCTAATTGCCACATTAGACTTGGCTCGAGAAAGCTAGAGAATTATTATTTTATCTAATTAGCCGACAAGAGATCGTCGACTCTTCAAAGAAGCTAGACTATCAGCATAAAAAGGCAGGCAATGATTTGGGTTCCAGCTGAGGCCACAAAGATGAAGAGTCTATAGGAACTTCAAGTTAATTTGAAGTCAAGCACTTGCAGACCAAAGGCGGTCTTCAGGAAGTACTGACGACGCTGGTCTTACTTGTATATCCAGATGTGGGCAGATAAAATACATATATACAAGTATGTATCGCAAGAGGCCGAAACAGACTCACCAACCAGCCAATGTGCATATAAATATTTTGAGCGAATTTCGCTGCTACCGATTGTAGTTGTTGCTCTTGTGGCTTGGAAATCTTAGGCAGCGTCTTCTGAGGACGGCAGACGGACGGACAGACAGGCAGCAAACAAAAAAATCGCTTTTTGAGCAGTCGGTGCTGGAATGAGAAGTGCTGTGCTGTGCTGTACTGTTACGGGCTAGCTTAAGACTCTTTGATGTATGTGTGTCAGTCATTCCCCCCATCCCCCACCCCCCACTCCACGCAATCACATATGTATGAACGTGTGTTACACATATATGTGCGTATTTGTATGTGTGTGTCGCCGTCGTCGTCGCCGTCTCCATCGCTGTGCCACGCAAATCCGTCTTTGAATAATGATGCCGTTGATAGCTGGGATTATAGCCCAGGCATAGGCACTGCCACTGCCACTGAGTTACTCACACACACACACACACACATGTGAACGAGTGTGTGTGTGTGTTGTCTATGTCATTTATTTATTATGCCACAATATTCAATGACCCTTAATGGCATTTCGTAATAAAAATATTGGATTAGTTTGTTAGTTTTTGCTTTTCGCCTTGGCCCGAACAATTTTTACGTGGTCGACGCCACAGACTGTAGCAACCACCAACAAGCAAACAAATAAAGAAACACACACAGCCACCCATGCACCACTTTATCAACTGCAACTGTCCCGTTCCGCCGACTTTTCGGGCATTACATATTCCATTAAACGCTTAATGAGCCCATTGTGCTGTCCT